TCTGTTAATAAATAAATTTTATTTACAGTACATCATTTCCGAATTCGCCCTATTCAGATAACATTTCTGAAATTTGTGAGTTTGACAGAACCACCAGCACCAAATTTTCGGGATACAATGGCAATATACTGGAGATGTCAAGTTGCCCCCGAGTTGCATTTAGGTCGACATTACATCCATTTCCCCTACGTCTCGCAATTGAAAAGTGCACATTTAGTCGTTTTCCCTAAAGAAATTGGAACAGAGATAGAATGGACATTATTCAAATCTAACTAGTGGGCAGTATCGACAAATTTAAGAGTGAATTGCAGCCGCCGGTATCACACCTCATGTCAGTGCCTTTACATAAACGTACTACGACGTGGTTAAGAAATGAATGAAAAGAATATGTGATACCATCACACAGTAGTGGTGCCAAGGGTATCAAAACACGCGCTTTTTTATTTACGCTGAAATGGTTGATTAAAGGTACTAGGTGTCTTCTGAGAAGTTTCTTGGGTTACAACACTCCTTCTTATGGTAAAAGAAAATTAAAGATTAATCCACCTAAATGTGAGTTGCAAAATTTATTTTTTTAACATAATAAGATACAACATAATTGTGTTCGGCAAAACTGTAGGGAACATTACTGTGAACAACTTTGCTGAAGACTATAACTTTCTAGCTCTTTGTTAGTCATTAGAAATAACCCAGGTTGCTTGGTTATCCATTTGTATGCTTCTTTTCACACCTCCCGACCAACCATTCGTGAAACTTCTTCAAAGTTCTTTATGCAGAAATAAAGATTTATGTCAGCAATTCTTTACTTTAAATTTTCCATGATTTCGATGTACACATTTAAAAATCTTTATTGATCGATACTTACATATAAGATTATTTCTTCATCGGTCATATGATAGTAATCTATAAAGGTGCCATACTAAATTTCTTTTAATTTCGATATGTCACATGGACTTTAGAGGACTTTAGTATTCTTTACAAATATTCATTAATAAATATTTAAATACTGATATCATCGTAACTTTGAACTTTGGCAAAGAACAACAAAGATTGCCATCGATGCACATTTATAATCTCCTTGTTATCGATTTGCATCGCTGGTTAAAGAGAGTTCGAGACACACCAGGTGACAGGTGGCAATATTTATATTATTTATCGACATATTCGGCATTTCATCGGAAGAAGCAATCTGCCGGTAAATGAACGAGAAGACCGATGGCCACGATGCAGCAAATGTTTACCATTGTCGTTCTTCAAGTTTACGTCTATATATTTAATAACCCGCGATAGCATGCATGGTGGGATTCTCGGCATTTGGAACCCAATGAGGAAAATTTACACCTTGTTTACCTCTATTACACCTACATGGCTGACTGGTTGATAGTTATGACAGGTTATGACAAATAAATATTGAATTCATGTATGAAAAGATTTGCAGAAATTTCAATACACCACATACTAGAGTGTGTTTGCCTGTCGTTGATAAGCTCATCAACAGCAGCCGTGGACCCGAGGATTAGCAACCAACAACGAAATCAGTACACCCCAGATGGCATGGGATCGAAACTAGAAATCATGCAGATAAAAAATCACAAATAAAATCAGCAGTTGTGTATCGATATTTTGATTTTACAACAGAAATCGATATTTTGATCTGGCAACACAATCAATATTTTAACATTGGTAACGATTGGTAGCAATATGTTAAGAAAAATCTTTATAAACGATTCACGATTAGACTTTTAGCATCTTTACAATTATGCATCAAATGGTGACGATCGCTATCGATTTTTCTTATGAATGGCTTTGAAGATCGATGTATGGAAAGTTAAAGAAAATTAACGAAATGGTTGGTCGGGCTACTCGATAGCAGTCCCGTGGTTTCACAAAATCGTCATTTCAAATTCTGAAAATTGACAAGTTTTAATGCAAGTATTTTGGTTAAGGGTCAAGTGGGGCGGTCTGGTTTCTTCACCATTTTATTGCATTTTCTTGAACTTTTAATTGTTCAAAGAATGGCCTGCTCGTTTTTGCCGGTTTAGGAGCTATTGGTATTGGAAGTTGGGTAATTTTCAACCAAAAAATGTAAATAACTTTTCAAATATTGAGGGTAGCAATTTGCAGTCTTCTGGAAAGTTATGTTATTTGATATTTCTAACATCTTTGTAGAACATGCCAAACATGTAGAAATATTTTAGAAAAAGTTACAGATACAAAACTGATTTTAACGATGTCTCCACAAAAAAAAAACCTTCATATCTCAGAAGTTATAAGAGCTAGAAAGTTATAGTTTTCAGCAAAGTTGTTCACATTAATGTTCCCTACAGTTTTGCTGAACACAAATATTTTGTATCTTATTACATTGAAAAAATAAATTTTACATCTCACTTTTAGGTGTATTAATCTTTAATTTTCTGTTACCATAAGAAGGAGTGTTGTAACCCGAGAAATTTCTCAGAAGACACCTAGTACCTTTAATCAACCATTTCAGCGTAAATAAAAAAGCGCGTGTTTTGATACCCTTGGAACCACTGTGCATTACTTCTGGCCACTGTATTGGTCTCCCATGTAGACTAGAGTCGGTGTATAATGAGTCACGCCAAGAGAAAAACAGTTGAACTCGCATCACGGTTTTCGAAAGATTCTCATTCTTTTCACTTGGCAACAGAGGACTTCTACAACAACTTCAAATGACTTCTAGCGAGAGAAAAAATATTGCGGCTGTAGTAAATCATTATATGAGTGATTTTGTCAAATTATCTTAACAAAAAATAGTAGAAATTCTCATTGATAATCATTACCGAGCGTATCCCATGACAATTTAACGCTCACTGCGTGTTTATGCTCATTTCTTTGATTATATTTTATATTTTATTGCAATACCTTTCGTAGACCTTTCATAGCATCGTAATGTTTATTTACTTTGCACGATAGGTAGCCGGTTTGACAGTTCAATAGGTAGACTTGGCTTCACTCTTGGCGTGACTCATTATACACCGACTCTAATGTAGACCTACAGCATGAGATTAACCTCTCCAACCTTCGGCAAGGTGCTAAAGAATGGCCTACGCAGGGCTGGTAGTGCTGATGCGATATAATAGTAGTGATTTTAGTGACTAAAATTACGGAAATAGTGACCAAATAGTGACTTTTAAATAATAAATAAGTAACTAAAACTGACATTTATATTATGAGACAGAAATTCGAATAAGGTTTAATAAACTCTTTTTTGGCATGGAACTTAAAATCATATTTCATGAATTCCTTTAATTAAATCGACATTCTCAACGGAATCTCCTATGAAGAGCATTTGAAGTGATTTGAAAAAAATAATTCAAGATTTTCCAGAAGATTTTTTTTAACTACTGGTTGAGCGCTGTGTATAAATGTAAATGGGGGGGGGGGGGTCAGATCGCTTCCATTGCAACAATGGAGGCAAAACGTGGTCAGCACTCACACATTCATCACGAAACGGTTGCTTTCCAAAGTCGACGACGCATCGACTGAAAGAACTTTTTTTTTTAACTTTATTTAAAAGATTTTTAGTCTTAGGCTAGTTCATATCTTAACTGAAAGAACTGCTGATGAAGAACAATGAAGAGGACCACACAATGGTTGCTGCAGACGATCGCGTGACACACATTGAGAGTAGCCTGCTTCTGTCGACAGCCGAAATCGTTAACTTCACGCATGAAGTAATAAAACATGATTAGTTAGACAAGATTATTTTCGATTTTTTTTTTATTATTCTTCCAGGATTTCCTTAAAGGTTCCTTCCATAAATCCATTTTAAATTTACTTGAATTCTCCTTAGAATTCCCATGCAATTAACCTCAGAAATATCATAAATTTCAGCTTAGAATAATTTTGGACTTCTCCCCTGAGTTCAATTAGTATTCGCTTCAGAATTCTAATGGTATTTCTTTAGATTTCTAATAACAAAAATCCATCTCAGAATACCCTTTAAATTCTTCGAAGAATTCCTTTGAGATTGAAGCCTCAAAAATCGATTCCATTGGAATTCTTCTCGGCATTTATTTCGAACTCTTTAGAGATCGCTTGGAAGTATCCTCAGAAATGACCCCAGAATTCGTTTAGAACTATCCGCAGAGAGCATCTTTGGAATTCATGAGATTTACATGGAATTCTCATCAGAGATCTCTTTAAAAAATTTAAGAACTAGTTTTGAATTATTATTATAATTGGACCTACAATCCTCATCCAATCATCATAGAATTCTGAGAATTCTCGTTAAAATGCACATGGAGCTCTTCTCTCATTTATATTGGAACTATTTCCAGAATTGTTTTAGAGCTTAATTTGGCGTCTTTAATAATTTAAACAATAATCAAATTGATATTCTTCAAAGACTTTTGAAAATCTAGCACAGACAAATACCCTGGAAAAGTTCCCAAGGTCTAGAATTTATTTTTGGGGAAAGGAGGTATATTTTACCCGATTTGTAATCGAAATTGAAGGCATTTTCCAGTATTTATCCTGGTGTTCTAAAGTTCCTTGAATGTTTGCGGTTCACTGGTCATCTTGGTTAAAATTGTTAATTTTTCAACAGATATGCATATTTTGTCATAACTACTGTTACAGTAGACTTTCTTCGTGCCAAGTATTCAATTTAAAAATGTTGTTGATATTTTCCCATTTCTCTCTATTTTGATTGTGAAAAAGTGACTTTAGAGACTATTTTTAGGGAAATAGTGACTTTAGTGACTTTTTGGTGTGAAAAGTGACTTTTTAGTGGCTGATTTTAAAATAGTGACAAAGTCACTAAAAAATTACCTACAACCAGCGCTGCCTACGGGAATCACTCAATTTGGGTACAAATTCCAGAAATAACCGTGAAACGCTCGTACACCGGGAATTTCTGCATTGCGGGAATCACAAAATGTATTCTTTGATTTTCTATTCGGGAAATCAGTAACACATTTGCTAATATTAACTTTCCAATCAACATGCATACTAAAACAGCTCCCGGGAAAACTTACCTCGACCCACAGCGGCTCGACAGCCTTGGGACACTTCTCGTAGATACTCAATCCATGGGAAAAGTCTATCACCTCGTCTTCGGTTCCGTGGATAACCAGCACTGGTGAGCTAATTTTCGATACCTTATCAATGCTGAAAGTAACGAAATATCATAAATCCTAATCCACTTGTGCAGTGAGAAATTACACCACGCTCATACCTGGGAAACACATCAAAGAACCAGGTGCGCTTGGTATTGGGAAATGCTACCCGCATGCCGGACATCAGCGGCGAATGAAGTATGACCGCTCCGACTTCGTACCTCGCCGCCAAATCCACCGTTGGCACCGTTCCGATGCTCTGTCCGTACAGGATGATATTTTCCGGGCTAACCCCGAAGCGTGTCCGAAGCGAGTGCCACGCCGCATCGATGTCTGCGTAAAGATTTTTCTCGGAAGGCTTACCGGTACTCATACCATATCCCGAGTAGTCATAGCTAAATATATTACAGTTGATCCTCAGTCCCAGTCCCAGATAGAAGCTGCTCATCTGGCCCAAATCGACTGCGTTTCCGTGCGAGAACAGCACGGTGTATTTGGCATTCGGAGAACAACGGACGTAGATGCAGGATAGCTTGTTGCCGCGGGACGTCCTTGTGAAGAATCCTTCCACGTTCTCCTTTTCCCGTTCCGAGTAAGGCCACTCGGCTCGTTCGTTAAAGCTGAGCAAATACTTTGCTTTGCTCTCATCAATCGGAGTAAGATTGTACGTTGGATCCGGCGGAAGGAAGGCAAGTTTTGATGCAATTCTACCGGGAAACGGTGGACAGCAAAACAGGCAACACAGTTCGCCGAAACTATGCAAAATAGAGAGATAAAGAATAGCTAATTTACAATTTTTCATTCCGAGCATGTCAGGCCTGTCAAAAAGGAGACTGCAAATCGATAACAAAAGCCTCCCCCACACACCCTTGGCGTAAACTAGACTAGTGTCTTCGTTTCTCTCCACATTGCACTTACCTTAATCCGTTCATGATTGCACTAGCCCAATTCTTTTCTACTTTCGTTAGTAGTGAATTGCGTCTGTCCCTTGCAATCTGACCTCCTTTTTAACTCGATACTCAGTCTACAGGTAGCGAGTAATACGCAAACTTGACTAAATATTAGTAATCTTCTTGTTTTTCTTTACTTCTTTCTTGTCGCCGTCTGCCTCTTTATCTACTTGTACGTGACTTGGACGCCAACATCCTTCACGTCAGGTGGCATACAGAACCTGGTTTCTAAATAGCACTAAGGTACCGAAAAACATTCAGATGCAACATCCAGACACGGCTGTGAGTCACGGGGAAATAATATCCATTTTACCCGTCCCTACTTTCTTTGCCACACACCGTCTTACAAATAATGATAGTAGGTACTTATCTGGACAAAACCAGACACTACACACTGAACAAGCAACTGCTGCGCCAGCACTCCACCTTCGATCCGTCGTCTCGCCACGACAAAAACGCGATTGGAATGAAAAAAATTTAATCTTTTTTCTAACACTCTTTCATTCTCTACAAGCACGACCTCGGGATCTTTTTTATCAGCACTTCAATTCCGAACACATTACCACCTACGCAGCTGCTATCACACCAATGAGATAATATGCAATTTGGAGTATTTTTATCCAATCATCTAAAATTTACACTGGAAAAAAATCAAAAACTTCTATCTTTTTCGTTTCTGACTGGAGTGACGACTGACTAAAAGGAACGGATTTTTGACAGCACTGAACGGACAGTGGTCAGCAACTAGTGCTCACATACACACACAACCGCAACTATAACATTGGGCGATCGAGGTATATTGATCGTATTTTTCTGTCGACGGCCAAAGTACCTTTAAGAGAAGGGAATACCCGCATAAACGATAACCATAAGGAGTGCCTAACAACCTATTCGGGTTATCATCCCAACAATATGCGGTACGGTGGCACGATTTGTGGTATCGTTCATGTATGGTGCTCGTTTATTAGGGTAGTACCACAAACGAAGTTACAGACGACTAACTGACGAAGAAATCCATTAAAATAATGTGGTTCACTGTAATAGAATTTTCTTGGAAGCTTGTGCCATCATCCACCAGATGGGTTAGTTTTTTTGTTTTGATTTGAACAAAGTTGATTTTGTGTACAATGATTCTTTGACAGTGTGCAAAGAGTGCGTATCATTTTGTCATTTTTTTATGCATTTCAGTTTTGAGTAGAGTGAATGAGATAGAACCAAAACATTCTAGTACATTTGGTGAAAATGCTAGTTCAATCTAATAGTAGTGTTGCCATGTGGTACAATCCAGTAGTAGTGGTGTTGCCATGTGGTACACTGAAAAATTGCAATAGCAGGTTAGTCACCAAAGTTTTCGACGGAGCGTCACTTCGTTTGTGGTAGTACGTTCAGACTACAGAGTTATAACAACAATCAATACGAAACTAACGATTTTAAATTGGCTCACCACTTTAGTAGCCTATTGGTCCCAAGCAAACGATTAACGTACCCTATTCTAGTTGAAATTCTATTACTACACTATGTTTGTTTTGATTCGCTATGAAAGTTTGACAGATAACATCAGAGGTGTGTGGATTCATGCAGAACATGCAGGGGTGAGTGAAATAGCTTGGGACTGCTTGGGACCGTTGTTCTGGTACTGAGTGAGCCAAAAATAATAATGATTTTCTTCGGGACCCAGTGGTCTTAGAGTTACCTCTATGGTTATAACATGTTATACATTTTTTTTTTTTTTTTTGGTTTTGTTTTTTCCGTCGATCTTGTTTTCCGTGCTGAGCACCAATGCTACCGACGTGCCAGGAAGGCAGCTCCCACACCTGGACCCTACCTATCGACCCATCAACTCATGAACCGGGGACCAACGGCTTTACTTCCCATCCGAAGGAAGGCGTGATCAGAGATGTTATGCCTCAGAACATCCCGGCGGCGCCGACTGGAATTGAACCCAGGCCTGCTGGGGTGAGAGGTAATCACGCTTACCACTACACCACCGGCGCCGTTAACATGTTATACATAGCGCTATATTGATGGAGCTTTCTGTGTTGCAATTATTTGACAACCGTTATAACATGTTATAACCATAGAGGTAATAGTACGTTCAGGCTACTGAGTTATAACACAAACGAAGTGACAGACGACTAACTGGCGAAGAAATCCATTTAAATAATGTGGTTCACTATAATAGAATTTTCTTGGAAGCTTGTGCCATCATCCACCAGATGGGTTAGTTTCTTTGTTTTGATTTGAACATAGTTGATTTTGTGTACAATGATTCTTTGACAGTGTGCAAAGAGTAGTGTATCATTTTGTCATTTTTTATGCATTTCAGTTTTGAGTAGAGTGAAAGAGATAGAAACAAAACATTCTAATACATTTGGTGAAAATGCTAGTACAATCATAGAGATAACTTCCTGAGAAAAGTTCGATTCAAAAATAAAGTAGCAGAGAACAATAAGCGTGAAACAAAGCGAAATTGTAAAGCAGTTCGAATGAATTTGCCGCAACGTGCTTAATTAATTGATAAAAGGTTTGCCAAAAATATTGTTATGTTTTGAAAAGTTGTCGAAACTTTTATTTTTCCAGTTGTCTAGTATGAAAACTTACAATAAAACATTGTTGTACCACAAACGAAGTGTGGTTGTACCATAGAGGTAACTCTAAGACTAGAAGGTCCCGAAATAACGTGCTCAACTTTTTGGCTCAGCTCTGGTACTCTCTTCGGTCCCAAGCTAATCGATTCACCCCTCGAAACATAGGAAAAACCAATAACCCCTCATTTTATCTGTCAAACTTTCATAGCGAATCAAAACAAACATTGCGTAGTACTAGAATTTCGACTAGAATAGGGTACGTTAATCGTTTGCTTGGGACCGAAGAGAGTACCAGAGCTGAGCCAAAAAGTTAAGCACGTTATTTCGGGACCTTCTAGTCTTAGAGTTACCTCTATGGTACAACCATAGAGGTAACTCTAAGACCACTGGGTCCCGAAGAAAAACATTATTATTTTTGGCTCACTCAGTACCAGAACAACGGTCCCAAGCAGTCCCAAGCTATTTCACTCACCCCTGCATGTTCTGCATGAATCCACACATCCCTGATGTTATCTGTCAAACTTTCATAGCGAATCAAAACAAACATAGTGTAGTAATAGAATTTCAACTAGAATAGGGTACGTTAATCGTTTGCTTGGGACCAATAGGCTACTAAAGTGGTGAGCCAATTTAAAATCGTTAGTTTCGTATTGATTGTTGGTACAACCCCATCCCGACCTCGATCCCGACCAACCGTTCATGAAACTTCTTCAAAGTTCTTTATACAGAAATAAAGATTTATGTCGGCAATTCTTTACGTTAAATTTTCCATGATTTCGATGTACACATTTAAAAATCTTTATTGATCGATACTTACATTTAAGATTATTTCTTCATTTGTCATCCCGACCAACCATTTCGTTAAATTTCTTTAATTTTCGGTATATCGATCTTCAAAGACATTCATATGATAAATCGATAGCGATCGTCCCCATTTAATGAATAAATGTAAAGATACTAAAAGCCTGATCGTGAATCATTTATAAACATCTTTATCAAAATGTTGCTACTAATCGTTACCTATGTAAAAATATCGATTCGTGTTGCCAGATCAAAATATCGATTTCTCTTGTCAGATCAAAATAACAATACACGGTACTGATATTTTTGGTATTTTTTTATCTGCATAATTGTAAGGTTTCGATCCCGTGCCATCTAGGGTGTACTGATTGCTTTGTTGGTAGCTAATCCTCGAGTCTACAGCTGCTGTTGCTGAGCTTCTTAACGACTGGCAATCACACTCTAGTGTATGGTATTTTGAAATTTATGTATGAAGCATGAATTTAAGCACCAAAGTATCAAGTTCCCTTATTCGGTTCAAAATGCCGAGAATTCTACCACGCTTGCTTTCGCTGATTCTTAAGAAATGGCCGAGAGCGTATCGACGTAAACTTAAAGAACTATAATGGCAAACATTTGTATCATCGTGTCCATCGACCAGTCTTCCCATTAATTTTCCGGCAGATCATGCTTCTCTCGATAAAGAACCAAATTTGTCGATAACTAATATAAACATTGCCATCTGTCATCTAGTGTGTATCAAACTCTCTTTACCCAGCGATGCAAATCGATAACAAGGAGATTATAAATATGCATCGATAGCAATCATTATTGTTCTTTGCCAAAGTTCAACATTACGATGGTACCAGTATTCAAATATTTTTAGATGAATATTTATAAAGAAAACTATAGTCCTTGCGACCCATCGAAATTAGAAGAAATTTAGTATGGTATCTTTATAGATTACTATTGCGCATTTTGCACCAAATTAGACTCCTGTGCAAAAAATAATTGCCCAGTAATATTTTCGCACAGGCCAGAAAATTTAAAAATCGATTTATTTGAAAGCAGTAACAGCTTTAGAACTAGCAAGCTACACTGTTGAATTAAAGATCTAGAAAGCATGCATTAAGAAATGCATTAAGAAGCTCTGCTTTGTTTAACTTTTATGACCAGTGCGAAAATATTACTGAGTACTTATTTTAAGCGCAGGAGTCTAATCAGGTGTGAAATCCGCAATATCATGCGACCGATAAAGAAATAATCTTAAATGTAAGTATATCGATCAATAAAGGTTTTTGAATATTTTCATCGAAATCAAAGAAACTTGAAAGTAAAGAATTACCGACATTAATCTTTATTTTTGTACAAAGAACTTTGAAGAAGTTTCACGAATGGTTGGTCGGGATATGATAGTAATCTATAAAGGTGCCATACTAAATTTCTTTTAATTTCGATATGTCACATGGACTTTAGTATTCGTTACAAATATTCATCAATAAATATTTAAATTCTGATATCATCGTAACTTTGGACAACAAAGATTGCCATCGATGCACATTTATAATCTCCTTGATATCGATTTGCATCGCTGGTTAAAGAGAGTTCGAGACACACCAGGTGACAGATGGCAATGTTTATATTATTTTTTATCGACATATTCGGCATTTCATCGGAAGAAGCAATCTGCCGGTAAATGAACGAGAAGACCGATGGCCGCGGCGCAGCAAATGTTTACCATTGTAGTTCTTCAAGTTTACGTATATATATTTAATAACCCGTGATAGCATGCGTGGTGGGATTGTCGGCATTTGGAACCCAATGAGGAAAATGGATACCTTTTTGACCTCTATTACAGGGTGCGTGACGAATTTTTGCAGTAAATTTCAAATAGTAATTTCTCATGCTTGTGCATCACATTACAACGTATATCACGTGATATACACTGTCTTGCAATGAGCACTCATACATCTAGTTTTCACTGGAAATCATTTGTATGAGTGTTCATTTCAAGACAGCCTATATTACGTGATATAGGCTGTAATGTGAACGGGGTATTAGATATATTTGGCAGCACTGGATAGCTTATACTGTTAGGTGTAAGATTTAAACAAACAATGTTGAGTAAACGTAAAGATGTCGAAACAAGAGAGCAATCTGTCAGCCGTTGTCGCTTTGTTGCGCGCCGGAGTATGCATGAAAGAAATAATTCGGTCGGTAAATGTGACTGAAAGAACAGTGTATAATATTAAAAAAGGCTTGGGAAAGTGATAACACGGAGCACCTGCT